ATGAGGGCAATAAGGACATGGGGTGGTGAGGATGAGGGCAATTTGGTAGGGATAAGGGCAATTTGGGAATTTGGGGTGATGAGGACATGGGGTGGTGGGGATTTGGGACGATAGAGATGAGGGCAGGGGGTGGATGGAATTTGGGGTGATGAGGGCATGGTGTGGTGGGGATTTGGGACGACAGAGATGAGGGCAGGAGGTGGATGGAATTTGGGGTGATGAAGACATGGGGTGATGGGGATTAGAGTGGTGTGGATACGGGGCGATGAGAGCATGGGGTGGTGGGATTTGGGATGATGAGGACACAGGGTGGTGGGGAGGCAGGGCTGCATGAGAGTGCGATGTGGGAACACTGGGTGGCAGTGATACGGATGCGATGGGGACAGCTGATGCAGGAGATATGGGGACAGGCAAAGATGGGGACACGATGTGACAGCAGTGATGTGTCCCCAGGTACCTGTATGGGAAGAATCTGCAGGGGACAGCCTTCGCCCTCTTTGGTGTGATGGTGGATGATGAGAGAAAGACCATCCCCCAGACCCTGCAGCGCATCAAGGTGGCCCTGTCCCCTGTCCCCATCCCCTGTCCCCATCCCCGTGGCTGTCCCCCTGTCCGTCTGACCCTGTGCTGCTGCAGGTGACTGATGGGGACGGAGAGGCCGTGCTGCCCATGGCCATGCTGCGGCAGCGCTTTGCCAACCTCCAGGAGCTGGTGGGACACTCGCTCTACGTCACCGTCACCGTCCTCACCGAGTCAGGTGTGCGGGGGGATGTGGGGACAGAGGGACGTGTCTGGCTTCGTGTCACAGTCCTCAACGCATTGGGATGGTTTGGGGATACGTGTCGGGGACACAGAGGGTGGGCCCAGTAGGGACATGTGGGTCTGGATGGGGACAACAAGGACGGGGAGGTATGGGGACAAGGACATGCGGGGCTGGGGACTGCAGAAATAAGGAAAGGTGGGGATGAAGATGGTGCAGATGGGAGCAGCCAGGGCTATCCACAGTTGGGCAGGGGGACAATGGGGGGCCAGGAGCCTTGTCCTGGCACTGGGTGACGTCGCTGTCCCCATGGCCACCGTAGGCAGTGACATGGTGGAGGCACAGCGCAGCGGCATCAGCATCGTGACGTCCCCATACACCATCCACTTCACCCACACCCCCAAGTACTTCAAGCCAGGGATGCCCTTCGATCTGACGGTAATGGCACATGGGGACAAGGACAGGGATGGGGACGGGGGTGGGGGGGTGGGGGTGACAATCCAGGCCCCTCTGGCACCGGAGTCTTCTCAATGGGGATGGGGAAAGGGGGAATCCCATAGGGTTGTCTGCCCCCACGTCATGTCCCTGTGTCACCTGGATGGCACCTGGTGTCTGTCCCCATACCACATCCTTGTGTCACCTGCCCTGTGCCGTGTCCCCAGGCTGAGCCATGTCCCCGTGCCATTTTCCTGTGCCACGTCCCCACGTTGTGTCCCCACACCATGTGTCACAACCCCATTCTGAGCCGTGTCCCCGTGTTGTGTCCCTGTGCCACATCCCCATGGTTTGTCCCCGTGCCGTGTCCTTGTCTCACATCCTCACTGAACGTCCCCATACCACGTCCTCACGCAGTGTCCCATGCCATACTGCATCCTCCACAGGTTTATGTCACCAACCCCGATAATTCCCCGGCTCCACGCATCCCTGTCAAGGCTGACAACTTCCAGGGCCTCGTCTCCACCCAGCGAGATGGCAAAGCCAAGCTGGTCCTCAACATGCCAGCCAACAAGAACTCTGTCCCCATCACCGTGAGTAGGGACAGGGAACGGGGACCTGGGTCTGGGATGGAGCAGGGAATCCATCAAGGGGACCAGACCCCAAACGGCCAGCACCAGGGTGTCTAAAGTGGCCAGGGTGGCTGAGATGAGCAGGATGGCCAAGGACAAGAGCAGCAGAGTTGGGGTGGCAGGATGACTAGGTCACCTATGGTAGCCAAGACCTCCATGGTTGTTTGAGAACTCCGTGGTGGTCAAGTTATCTACGGTAGATGAGACCTTACTGACAACCAAGATGTCTGTGGTGGCCAACCACTCATACTATCCAAGGCCTTCATGGTGACCAGGTCATTTATGGTAGTCAAGACTTTCACAGTGCTGAAAAAATACATGATGACCAAATCACCCATGATGGCCAAATCATACATAGCAGCCAAAATCTCCATAGTGGCCGAGACTCTCTTGGTAGCCAAGACTTTCATGGCAGCCACAGTCTCCATAGTGGCTGAGACCTCCATGGTGACAAAGTCACCTATGGTAGCTGAGGCCTTTATGGTGGCCAAGTCACAATTGGCAGCCAAGACCTTCGAAGTGGCCAAGTCCTCCATGGTGGCCAAATCATCTGTGACAACCAAGACTTTCATGGTGGCCAAATCATCCATGGAAATCAAGACATTCGTGGCAGCCGAGACATTGATGGCAGCCAAAAGTTCCAGGGTGGCTGAGGCTTCCAAGGTGAACGAGTAACTCATGACAGCCAAGACCTCCATGGTTGCCAAGACCTCCATGGTGGCCAAGACCTCCAAGGTGGCCAAGTCATCCATGGCAACCGAGACCTTCATGGTGGCCAAGTCATCTGTG